CCTTACAATTGATAATAGAAAACGAAAATTTATTCCATTTTGTAACCATAGCAGACTTTTCTCTTTCTTTCTCTTTCTAGAAAATACGAGAAAAAGAAAGCAGAGAGAATGATATTGATAGTATATCTACGCGTAGAAAAATATATTCTACGCATCCGTTTTTTCTACGCGTAGAATATAGTCTACGTCTACGTTCTACGCATTTCATTATTTTTGGCGGCTTCCCTAAGACTTTCTTAAATGAACTGCTTGTATATCTGATACTGATACTTAATGTTCTTGTCTTGCCTGGTATTTAGCGAAAATGTCATATAGCCGTCAAGTTCGTCCGCCAGTCACAACTAGCCATCTCCCGCCTGCTGCTCCCACTGCTCGTGCCAGACCTGTCGGTGGTTTTGACAATGCTGAAACGGGACGGATCCATCCTAACGAGTTCGACGTTGTGAATATGAGCGAAGCAGATAAACGGGCCGGTAATTCTAGAATTTACCTCATCTATCTCATTTACATGCAACTGCTTTCATTTTTTTAGCTGCAGAATATTTCAATACTAATGGAGTTCGAGGATTTGAAAACTTTCTAAATAACAGATTAAATGGTGAGTTTTATTAACTGCCCTTCCAATGCGATACCTTTCTCTTTTTACTTCAATAATACAGCATGGCATGCAAGTCCTTTGAAAGTTGCTAAAACCGGTGAATCGGGCAGTGGGAAATCAATGTTCATTAATACGATTAGAGGTCTTAATCCAGGTTGGACTGAAAACCGCACGCGCTCGAACTTTCTTATCCAAGTGAGGAAACCTGTGTTGTATTTCTTTAGCTGATAATGTTGCCGCTCTAACAGGCGTTACTGAAACTACAGATCGTGTCGAAGACTATCCGCATCCAGAAAATCCAAATTTGATCTTTTATGATTTACCGGTAAGATTCTTCAACATTCACTCACAAAGTGTTCAGTCAGCCATAATGCATTCGAAAATCTTTACTTTGCCCCTGTTTCGTAGGGGGTCAATACACCGAATTTTCCCAGAGACACCTATTTGGAAAAAGTTAACTACAAGCAGTACGACTTTTTCATTATTATTAGTCGGACACGTTTCACCGACAATGATTTATGGCTGGCAAAAGAAGTAAAAACAAGGGGGAAATCGTTCTTCTTTGTACGAACGTATGTTGATGTAGATTTAGTGAACGAAAGACGAGATCGTCCAGAAACATACGACGATAGGGCAGTTTTAGATAGAATAAGAAATAACAGTCTGGATCATCTAAGAACAATTGAGAGCAATCCAAAAGTTTTCGTGATTTGTGGTCTGTTGAGTCAAACAACAAAATTTGACTACGGATTAATGGCTGAAACACTTCTGATGGAATATCCGTCATATAAACGGCAAGCTATGATACTAGCTATGACAATGAATTGTAAAGGTATAATCTAGAGTTAGGGCAACTAATCGGAAATCTCAATGGAGAAAATTCTCTTGCGATTCGTACAAAACGTCTAAGAATAAGATCCTATACGATACGATGCTTTTCTTTCCTCTCTTTTAGAAGTAATGAAAGCAAAAGTAAATGAATTACGATCGAAAATATGGATGGTTGCTACTCTTAGTGCAGGTATATACTTTTATTCTTGCATTAGAACGCTACGTTATTTTGTTTGATTTCTCTATTTTCTACTCTAGGAATTGCTGCTGTCCCAGTTCCTGGTTTATCGTTCTCAGTAGATCAAACGCTCCTGCTCGCGTGGATCATTCGATACAAAAAACAACTTGGTCTTGACGATAAATCATTGCAAAAGGTAGCGGCACTGCATGATATTCCATTAGCAGAATTACAAGGGCAAATCCAGTCAATATTTTCGGTCTACTTTTTCACTGACTTGCCAAAACTGATGTATGTCCTACTTGAAAGCCAGGCCGTGGGTGGAGCAGTAGAGGAATTCAGTCGATTTATTCCCATAGTTGGCTCATTCATAGCTTCAGCCATATCGTTTAGTGTTATCATGGGTATGCTTCATAAAATGTTGAATGATATGGAAAAAGCAGTTCTGTTATTGATTGATGTAATCAAAGAACGTTCAGTAAGTCCTGCAGCTGAGCCCTTATCTAACATGAAAGCTCGCGCTGCCAGACATCTTTCAAAGAGCTTTCGCGGCTTTTGTGAATAGAATGAATCGTTCGCAAGCAACTTCCCTACCGACCACTTCTAATCAGCTGTTACCAACGCCAAGAGATAAGTTTGGAGGCACGTCGAAGCTAAAAAGAATCAGTCCTCTGAGCACAGAAGAGAAATTTTTGCGGGCACTTTATCTTAACCGTCTTGCTGCTTTTAGAAAGCACGAAATGTTGCCATCCACCAAACTAGCACAAATAGAAGAGCTCCTACAGTTTCGGCACCGGCAACTCCACCATCCTCCAATGTCAGTGTAATTACGTGGTTTCTTATTGCGTTTATACTGGCTTGTATTTTACATTTCATACATAAATTTATTTCATTAGCAAAGAGTCAATTTGTCTTGTAGGACTATTGATTACAGCAAAACAAACAAGTTCATCTTTTTCTTCGTGGTCACCTATTGATTTTCATTTCTGATTGCTTGCCTTAAGGCTATTTATTCAGAATAAACGAATATAGATAAAGAAGCAGAGTAATCTTTTGACAGATTCCTCTCAATTAGTCTCCACAATCCTTACCAAGAAAGCTGAATATTTGTACGCTAACTGGCTTTTAAAGGTGCATAGACTTCGTCTACTGTACATATTGCAGTTAAAACATCTGGTGAACCGGCTCTTAGGCGCGCGACACTAGGGCGCGGACATTTGAGTGCGCGCGACACTAGGGCGCAACAACACTTCAGCGCACAATGTATTACACGACATTTGGGCGCAATGACAGTTGAACATCAAAGGCGCGAGTCAGGGTGAGGGTGAATATCGATGAAGATTAAATATAGAAAATGCTCTCACACCGTACCAAGTTTGTTTAAAAGAAAGTTTTATCATTATGCATCACACTTTAACAAATGCACTCTTACTGAGTGCTTGTGTCGTACATGCGCCCTAATGTCGTCGCGCACAAACGTCGTTGCGCCCAAAGGTCGTGCGCGCCCAAGTGTCGCGCTCTCAGCGTTATCGGTTAGAGGGTGGATTCTACCCTCTCGTTTGGATACAGTTACTCCAAAAAAATATGACTAACTCAGAAAAAAATTAAGTCTAGGCATCAAAACATCTCGATCTAGTGACTAGTAGTCGAAGTCGATTTGTGTATTTGTACTAATTTCAGCTTTGATAAAATTTTTTGCTTTAATTTAAATGATGATGACAGTCTTATTTGTCGCACTAATTAACGTATTCTATTCTGTACGCTGTTATTACGGTGACACTGCATCAGTTAAAACATCAAGTTGTTATGTGGAAATAAAACAATGTCAACTACTTGGACATCTCAAGAACGATAGGCGATGGTAAACTGAAACTCATCAAAAGATTGAATTAGAAAATCTTTGAAAAGTCGAACAATTTTGTCCAAAAGACAATAGAGTTTTAACGAAATTTGGAACGATGCTTTCGTCTTCCTTCACAGTTTCATCGTGTACCAGAAAACAAAAACATCGTTTTTTCTTCGACAAAATTGTTCGACTTTTCTTTTTATCCAATAATTATATATATAATCGTTTAATGAGTATTCTCTACTCAAAATTAAGGTAGTTATATCGTCAAAATTCCTTAACTTATGCACAATTCTTAAACCGCTACAATATACATGTTCTATTTGTTGCTTCTGTTTATCTGTAAAAACGAATCATATAGTAAATAACCACATGAAATGAGGTAAGACAAACGAAAGAATTTTTTTTCAGGTTTCATATTCAGGTTCCTTATAATGTTCTTCACAAAAGTCAGCTAACAAATTAACTATTTCTTTTTCATCTTTTATTTTTCCACCGGCACC